TAAGGTCTTCAAGCTTGTTGCCTTGGTAAAAATATCAGCCAACTGATCAGAGCTTCTTGTGTAACACGGTAAAATGACTCCAAGCTCTATCTGTTCCCTTACTTTGTGGCAATCCACCTCAATGTGTTTAGTCCTTTCATGGAACACCTGGTTTGATGCAATGTGAATAGCAGACTGGTTATCACAATGCATAGTGATCGGCTTTGAGAACTCTATTCCAAGATCTGAGAGAAGCATCTTCAGCCACATCAACTCGGTTGTAAGTCTTCTCATAGCTCTATACTCGGCTTCTGCACTTGAACAAGACACAACCTTCTGCTTCTTGCTCTTCCAAGTTACCAAGTTCCCTCCTATGAAAGTACAATAGCCGGTTGTTGATCTTCTATCAGTTCTGTCACCAGCCCAATCAGCATCACAATATCCAACTATTTCTGAGCTTCCATTGCACCCCATCCATATCCCTTGCTCCAAGGTTCCTTTGAGATATCTCAGAATGCGATTCACCATGTTCCAATGATATGTACTTGGAGCTTGCATATGTTGGCTCACCTGATTCACAGCAAAACACAAGTCAGGTCTAGTTATTGTGAGGTATATAAGCTTACCAACTGTTCTTCTGTATAGCTTGGGATCATCAAAGAGACTCTCAGCTTCATTCTCCCCCTGTTGGTGAGCTTTATATGCATCCTCTAATGGAGTTCTAGCCGGTTTTGCATCCTTAAGACCTGCATCATGAACAATATCTCGAGCATACTTCCTTTGGGACAAGAAAAGACCCTCTTTAGATCGGCACACTTCAATCCCAAGGAAGTATTTTAGTTCACCAAGGTCTTTAATATCAAAAACAGAATGTAAATAGTCCTTAGTTTCCTGAATTCCAACCTTGTCATTCCCAGAGATGATGAGATCATCCACATAAATGAGAATAACAATGATACCTGCTTGGCTCTGAAGAGTAAAGAGAGTGTGATCAGTCTCAGATCTTCGGAACCCACGATCTAAGAGGGTAACACTTAGCTTCCGATACCAAGCCCTTGGCGACTGTTTCAAACCATAGATAGCCTTTCTCAGCTTCAAAACCTTGCCATGAGTCACTTGAACACCTGGTGGAGGGGTCATATAGACCTCTTCTTCTAATTCCCCTTGAAGAAATGCATTCTTCACATCCATTTGCCACAATTCCCACTCTAGGTTTGTAGCAAGAGAGAGAATAACTCTCACTGTATGGAGCTTAGCAACAGGAGCAAATGTCTCTCTATAGTCTTCCCCATATGTTTGTGTGAACCCTCTAGCCACAAGTCTTGCCTTGTATCTCTCAATCTCCCCATTACTCTTGTACTTGATAGTGAATACCCACTTAGAACTCACAGTCTTCTTCTTCCTAGGTAATTCAGCTTCATCCCAAGTATGATTTCGAATCATAGCTTGTTTTTCCTCAGTAACAGCATCAAGCCACACTTTGTGCTCCTTTGCCTCATCATAAGTCCTTGGGACAGCCTCTTGATCTAATACCCCAATGAACACTTGGTGCTCTTGTGGAACATGAGCTAGAGAACATACAGCTTGAGTTGGATGAGCTACTGCTTGATTATTGTAGTAAACCCTTGTATTGATCCAATTAGAAGCTGGCTTCCTGATCCTTTGGCTTCGTCTAAGACATTGAGCAGCAGGTTCTTCTTCTGTGTGAACCGTTTCTTCTTGGCTTGGAGCTGGTTCATGTTCAGGTTCCTCTTGTAATGGTGAGTCAATATGGTCATTATCCATCTCATTACTAGACCCTCCGGTCTCAATCTCTTCTTCCTCATTAGAAGACTGTTGTTCCACCGATTCTTGAATGGGGCTCTCAGAGCTGAGCTTGTCAATGGGGTTCCCTGTCTCAAACTCTCCAGCAAAGTTCTGAGAGTAGCAGCACGGTCTGAATTAGAATGAGGAAGATCCTTCAAGCTTTCCCAGTTTCTTTCCTCATAGAACCCTTGATTCTCAATGAACTTCACATCCCTTGATACTAACACCCTCCTTGTCTCAGGAATGTAACATTTGTAGCCCTTCTGATTGATAGAATAGCCAATGAACATCCCTTTTGTACTTCTTGCTTCTAGTTTGTTCCTTTGTTCCCCTGGTACTAAGACAAAACAAACACAACCAAATACTTTTAGATAATCGATTGATGGTTTGGATTGGTTTAATACCTCAAATGGGGAAGAATCTTGGAGGATTCTTGTGGGAAGCCTATTGATCAGATAACAGGCCGTGACTACAGCATCTCCCCAAAATCTCTTGGGCACGTTCATATGAAACATTAGGGACCTGGCCACCTCCATAAGATGCCTGTTCTTCCTCTCAGCAACTCCATTTTGCTGAGGAGTGTAAGGGCAGCTCGTTTGGTGCACTATACCATGCTGAATAAGGTGTTGTCTAAAGGCTTGGCTTGTGTATTCTCCACCATTATCTGATCTAAACACTTTGATCTTAGCATTATAATGGTTAGTTACATACTTTTGAAAGTTCATAAAAGCCTCTAGCACCCTATCTTTAGATGGCAACAAAGTTATCCAAGTGTATTTAGACTTCTCATCAATAAAGGTAACAAAATATTTATGATTTTCTCTAGACATGCAAGGAGAAGTCCATACATCAGAATGAACTAAATCAAAACAGTTCTCATATATAGTAGATGATTTAGGAAAGACAGTTCTACAATGTTTGCCTAAAATACAAGCCTCACAAGCATTGTTTTCAAATTTAACATTAGGCAACATCAAGTTCAAAGATCTATGATGGGGATGACCCAATCTAGCATGCCACAAAGCATTATTCTCAACAGCAGAACTAAAGACAAAAGCATTAGATAAAGAGGATGGCTCAGTATTTTCAAGAACATAAAGACCATCCTTTGTTATTCCTTGTCCGAGAAGCTTACTTGACTCAATATCCTGAAAGAAAACCTCATTAGGACTGAATATAGCATAACAATTTAGATCAGTAGTTGCTTTCTTAATAGACAACAGATTAGATGTGAATGAGGGCATGTAAAATGCTTTAGACTGTTTATCAAATAGCTTAAGATCACCAATGCCTTCTATCTTAACCTTTTCACCATTAGCAATAATCACATTTCCTAATGCAGGTTTCATGTTACTAATCAATTTAGCATCACTAATCATATGATGGCTAGCTCCAGAGTCAACAATAAGTGGTTTATCACTTTTTAAGGCATGATTAGCAGAGTGATTTTCTAAAGAATGATCATGCACAACAGTATTAGCGATTTGATTAGTCAAGTTATGATCATGTAATGCATGAAAGCTAAAGGCTTTAATCGGTTTACCAGACTCTTTAAGAGCCTTAATGAGAGCATCCAGATCTGATTTCTTCACATATTCAGCTGAGGCCCTCATAGCAACACCTTCCTTTTCACGGTCTGAGAGGCCAGCCTCCTCATGAGCATGAGCTTCATTCGCCCTAGGCTTCCTCTGGTCCTTGCGGCTTTGCTTGAGATGTGGGTACAAAATCCAGCACTTGTTCTTCAAGTGACCCTTCTTTTTACAGTGCTCACATACCCACACTTCACACTCCTCACCACCATAAGAACCCTTGTTGGCCGCTACAGCTTCACTCTTGTTAGCCATCACCAAGTCACTTCCTTTGTTACCAAAGAGACCCAAAGAGCCTTGTTCCTTCTGGATCTGAGAGCAAACTTCCTCCAGGCTTGGTAGAGTCTTGGATCTGAGCATGTGCTTCACCAGATCATTGTAAGTTGGGTTCAAGACCATGAGAAGAGCAAAGACCTTATCTTGCTCTCTTCTTTCATTCAGAGTCTCAGCATCAACAGTGGCTGGCCTCAGCATCTCAAGCTCTGCCCAAAGAGATCTGAATCTACCAAAGAAGGTGTTAAAGTCCAGATCTCCTTGGTGGAGGCTGTTTATTGCCTTCTTAACCTCAAAAACTCTGGTGAGATTACATGTGTTTCCAAACACATTCTTCAAGGTATCCCACAGCTCCTTTGCACTCTCACAATAGGAGTAAGATTCCAACACAGGGATATCCAAAGCACCATGGAGAATAGCTAGAACCGCCTGGTCTTCCTGATACCACTCATCAGAATCAGTCACAGCCGGCTTCTTTCCTCCTTCTTTAGATTCGCCACTCTTTGCATCTTCATGTTGAGAAGACCAATAAAAGGCTTAGACATTATAAGTATCGGTTTGATCCTTTAATATCAATACCGAGACTAATAAATGACTAAGTCCAGCCTGAGCTTTGTTTCCCTCCATAGCAACCGTAGCAACACAGATTAACAGAGAAAGAAGAGAAAGTTTGAGTCTTTCGATGGAGGGAAGATAAAAGTCAACAGGGAAGTGGTTAGAACCTATTTAGACATGTGACTCCAGCGCATGGCTGTCACTTTCAGTCTCGGGATCTAGTTCCCTTTGTCTCTCTCTGTAACGGTCACCTAGCTAGGGCTTCCAGCCTCTTTTTGTCTGTCTATAAGTGCATTGTAACGAGAACCTAAGACAAAAAGATAATGGAGACTCTTTATTCTCTCTTTCTTGTTCATCATTTCTTTTCATTCTGCAAACTATTATCGCTAATCTCTCAATAATTTCACATGGTATCAGAGCATTTGATCCATATTCTCTTTCTTTAATCTCTTTCTCTTTACAAACTCCTCATAATCTCTAGTTCTTTCTCTTCTATTCTCGCCGTTCTTCCTGTTCTTTACTTGCTCATTCTCGACTTCCCTTTATTCACCGGGTAAAAGCTTTACCTAGCGGTCCAAATCTTTCTCATGGAGAACACCAAGACAGTGGTGATTCCAGTTACTCTCAAGGGAGTAAACTATCTCTTGTGGTCTAGAACCACAAAGACGGCTCTTTGCGGTCGCGGCCTTTGGAACCATATCTTGGAAGATAAATCTCCAAAGGAAGGAGCAAGCGATGAGAAAAAGAGCGAAGAACTCACTGCCGAGGAGACCAAGTGAAATGATGCA